TATATATATATATATATATATATATATATATATATCGCTGCAATGTTAATTTAATTTTTGTATTACATCATTCATTTGTTTGATAAATTAATTTAGCAATTTCTTAGGATAGTGCAATATCGCTAATACTAAAATACATTTCCCTAGGGTAGCGCATCAATCGTTAAAGAGAACGCAATTCAGTCTCTATCGCAACAGCGAATTGTTCGTGGTTCTGAAACTAGCCCAAGAGGAAGATAATTAAGTTTAAGCAATCGTGATCGTTAGATGCACAAAAGAAGAAATCTTAAATGGCAAGCAATAAATAAATTATACCTAACTGTTTTATGTATATCTGAGCATCATTTTAACAGAGTTCAAATGGATGACTTGTGTTATTATCGTTAGTAGGAATCTATTGAGGTGTCAATTGATACATTTTAGATCACGATTTCACCTTACCTGATCAACGTAATCGTTATCGTTCCCATGGTCGTAATGATGATTACCAAAACCATTTCCAGCCGATGCTCCATGGTTGTTATTACTCCCAGCATAATTCCCTGGGACACCGTATTGAGTATTCAATGGTGGCTCACACTGCACGATTCCTATGCTCATCATTAGAGCGAGAGTTAACTAGAAATTAAGGCCTAGTTAATTACATTAGACATTGAGGATTATTTATGGGACACACCTTAAGGGTTACTTCAGAGATCTATGATATGATATTTGTAGATTATACACGTTGAAGGTTACCTCAGTGATTTACGAATACAGGTGCTCATAGTCAATAATTACATTTTATTTATGGATCGTTTTAAAAGTTTAAAACGATTAGAAAACGATTCAGAGATCTGTTTTTTCAAACTCCAAAGTATATTTTTTAATCATAGCTTAATTGAAGCTCGTTTCTAGTCATGTTCATTGGTCGCTAGACGATTGGTCAATAGTTCCTAAAAGATTACTAGGAATATTTGATCATAAGACATTTCAAAGAAACAAAGTTCTACAATTATAATTCTTTTTATTAACCAACTTCACAGGTAATTTTTCATTGGGATCTAGGAAACCTAACCTAAACCATAAGTAAATGGCACTTATAATTTTAGACTACATACGTAAAAGAACTACCAATACCTCGACTTCTAATAAAACAACAACAATCTAATATATTGATTCATCGACTATAGTTTCCTCGTAATCATTGAGGCAGCAGCATAATAAAAGAATAACGAACAGTTAATATGAAAAGTATCAGATGCATTCCCAGGAGTAGAACAGATGCGTCTCGTCGAAAGCGCGAGATGATCAAGGCAACTCGCGTTGCGTAGGCGAGAAATTAGAGTCGTGAGCTAGCGTTTTCCTCCCGTGTCTGTCGTGAGAAAGCCCCTGAGTGTACGAGAAAAAGAGAGAAAGAGAGAAATAGAGGTAAACGTTGCATCATCTCGCGTTCAAAATCAGCGCAAGATTAAACACGATTACAAGAAAGAGGAAAAAAGAAAAGAAGAAATTAGACTGACAATGAGTTCCGTTAGACTGCAACAAGCTCTCGTTAAGGAATTATGTTGTTATATGTATCCTCTTACGAGGAAACAAATTTTTAAAACTCGCACAGACTACGAATCACGCGTGCCATATTGTGTACCAGACAATAGTACTACCACACTATAATAGCACAATATTGGGCATAATTTCATCCGGATGTAAAATAAGAAATGTTTCATAAAGAAACTTTCATTCATGAATAAGTCAACAGTTATTAACTGTACATGTAAAATGATTTTTTAAATTGAAAGAAATATTAAGTATTTTATTGAAAAATTAATCAATGTTGCAAACAATGATTATCAAGTTTGTTGCATAATATTTTTAATAATTTCATGATTTTTTACATTCTTTATACTAATTATATCTCTGTTCAAGGATGATCCAAGTTCCGATTATTACACATGACTCAGTCAGAAGTATAGAGAATGGAATTTTCAATTCCATTGCACGAGAAAGCAGATTGAATTCACTTTCAATTGATATAAAAGACTCTTCCACTTGGATCTATCCCATTTCTTACAAACAAAGGAATTTTCTATTTGTTATTATTCTGGTGATAATTATTCTGGTAATTCAAATGATTTTTAATCATATGTATATACTATTGATGATGATTTTGAATTATATATGTATATTGTATAATTTTATAATTCTCTATAATTTTTTTAAATTGAAAGACAGAGATTAAATAGTGAATTCAACATTATGAAGTGAAAATTGATAATAATTCATACGTCTTGTAATGAAGAGAAACAAAAAGGAGAGAAGTCATTTTCAAATAGCTAATTATGAGAGCTGATTATCTGAGTATTTAGTCCACGCGTGAAGTTATTACATACTAATTGTAAGAAAATTAACCTAGATACACGATGCACGGATCTCTACTTCACATATTAACGAAATTCCTACCTACATGACTACGGACAGGAAGTAATTTTTGATCATGCTTGACAAGAAATAAATATTAAGATTTATTTCTCTTTCTAAAGAAGATTTTTTAAAAGTTTTGAAACTAATCCAGTACTTCGAATTGAATTAATTTAATAATTTAATTTCAGTTAATCGAATAATTCAAACCTCATTGAAATCACGAAACTGGATCACGAAATGATCGCCTTAATGTCGGAGCAAAACATATCAACGTTGGATCTTAAATCTTAACTTAAGTGCAAGATCTCTGAAGCGCCCTCTGGAGCGCTGATTTTCGTAACAAGCAGCAGCGAAGCATATGTGTGCGTGATGTCATTTAACGCGAGGTTAGAATAGTTGCACGTAGAACCGGTTGCGAAACGCATATGTTGTTATTTATATTCCCGTGTAAAGCGTACGTGTCTGCGCCGCATTAACGGAGATGATTACATGGGACCAAGTGCACTTACATAATGAAATGCAACAGCCTACTGTGTACCTACAAAATAAACCATGCAACGTCCAGCTGCGCCTGCAAATTGACAACCATTGCGCACCGAAGAACACCGGTCGCGTAAAATGATGTTGATCTAACTCTCCGTCGTAAGTGGACGCCCGGATCGTTTTCTCCCACTCTTTTGTCACAGCTACCGGCACAGCGTCAACAACGGTCAACGAACCACTTAGACTCAGTAAATTGTACTTGTAATGTTTGTGGTTGCGAAAATGAGGAAATCTTCTTTATCGTCAGATTGTTACTGTTGTTAGTTTTGAAAACTAGCTTCGAAATTTGATGCCCATTTGATTGCAATTTGATGGAAGTTGAATTTTTAGGAGAAAAGTCAATGCATTTTAAATTAGGTAGCAATTAATTCGTTAAAGGTCAAACTGTAAGTGTTAGCATGTGAACTGAATAATTTTACAATAATTTTGAAAATTAAAGATCTAAGTTTGAGTAGTTTGAAAATTCAAAAGATAAAGATTTGAAATTTTGAAAATTTGAGAATTTGAAAGTTTAAAGAAAAATATGTTAACGCGTTGTTGGAGCTTAATAAGTTAACTGATAATAATAGTATGATGTAACTAATGGTAAGTAAAATTAGATTTTAGAACTGTTAATAATTTTATAAAGGAAAATCATAATTAAGTTTGTACTACTTTGCAGGTGCTAAGGATAGAAAAATTAGTAAATTAAGTGGATAATTATGGATAGCAAGAGCAAAGGATTGTAATTTATGTTATCCTAAAGAGAATTATTACAAGAAAAAATTAAAGATTGTCATGGAATACTACCATAACCATTATTTATTAGTTAGTTTTATATATAATTCTATAAGTATTTATTATTAGTTAGTTCTACATGCAATTTTCTAATTTGAAGGTTAAATAATTATCTAAGAATATTATTAATTAATTAATTAATTATTCGTCAATATTCTTAATAGAAACATTTGTCAAAGTTAAAAAATATCTCAAAATTCATATATTTAAAACTTGACAATTTTAAAATTGAAAAAATGAAAGAAAATTTTGAATTACATCAAATTAAAAAAAATTCAACTAGAACTCCAATTAAAATTCAAATTCTTTAGTTTCTAAATTTGAGGAAAGCTAAAATATTAATTTTTAAATTCACATATTTAAAAAATTGAACCGATCAAATTACGCAGAAATAAGTAGCCTTTGATAAGTATTCACCGCCATTATCTTATTCAAAGCAAAAATTTTCAAATCCGTTCTTCATTACGAAATCCATTGATCAGCAAAATTCTCCACCAACAGATCACCCAATGCATCTCTAATATCACTGCTCACGTGTCAACGATGACGAAACTCGCGAAGTAGAGTAGCACCAGCACCGAAAAAAAAAAGAAGAAAAAATACCACACGTCGATGAATTTCCTGATTACCTGTCGCACTACTCTATCCATACTCTTGAGGAATACTGAGAAAACCGGAGCACCGTGCGGAATGTTGAATTATAGTAACGTTTTAGCGTTATAGCTGGCTTATATAGAGAGCTCGCCTACGCCTACAAAGATTCATTTCCTGTCAGGCACGAATCCTCCTCTAGCACGAGGATGATCCACCTGAATATTCCCCCGTGTGTAAAACCGGGGGTCTCTCCTCGTACTCCAGTTCACATAGGAACGCCAACTGTGTGGAAAGCCCGCGCTTTATTTCCCATTGTTTCAGGTGTCAGGCATGCGCGATTTTGGGGCGGCGCTACTGCATGAGAGGAACGCGTCTTCCAGAGCGGAGAAAGCTGGTTACTTCACCGCGTGGGACACAGCCTACCGACGGATCTAACGTCAAGACTAATTAGCCAATCAGACCTTAATTAAGACACAGGACCATTGTCCATCCCCTTCATCTTATGATGTAACTCTTCGCTAAATTTTCTTCCCATATACCTCTATATTTTCCTGAAGAATGATATGCTGAAGGAAGAGAAACGATTACATTTGTAAATTAGAGGTATTGTAGTGTCGAGAATCTAGAATTTTAAAGAGATACGTGCACGCATCAGGAAAAAGTTGGGGTCGAGGTTGACGATGCGAACTTGATCTGATCTGTACCACATTCTTACGTCGAGCATTAGATTGAAATATATGATGAATGATAAATTGATTATCAAAAATAGCTTTGAAGATATAATTACTGATTGGTCCACCAAGTGTCAGTGTAATGTACATCATTGCACTGTAACGACCAGCTAGTTTCGAGCATAGTCTTGAGTTGTTGTAATGTTCGAAAAGTTTTAAGAAAAAAATATAATTAAAATGTCTAAATATGTAGATAAATGTACATATCGTGTATCGATATAAGTTAGCACTAGTATTGTTTCACTGATCGTCATAGATCTTAATTTGATATTCATTGAACGAAAATAATTTAAAATTAGTTTGAGATTAATATTGTTATTAAACATTTATATTAATATTATAGGTGAAATGATTTACACTGGCAGCCTATATACTAGTATGTTAAACAAAAACTATTTTGATAGACTATGTGCAATTCTCTGAAGACAATCGAAATTGCATCAGAACACAGAGAAAGATATATATATATATATATTTATTTATTTATTTATTTATTTATTTCATCGTCGACAGACTGCAACGCATCTTCGTAAGTATCCATAATCTTGGTCAGCAATATTATACACGCAACGACGTGTGTCAGGGAATGGTACAAACCTTTGTATAACGCAAATGTGTATCGCGAACGAATGCTACATAAGATGATGAGATCGGCACGCGGACCGATTTAGAAAGTATTCTCTATATTTGAATGGCGTTAAAATCATCTTTCGTGCTGGTCATTCAGCCTAAACGACTATGTTGTTATATTATTACGCATTTCGCAATTCATCTTCCTTGAATTGTGCTTCTCCTCAACTGATGATTAATGGCAGTTCATTTTATTTATCTGGTTCGTTCAAGCAATATTTATAAATTTGTTTCAGTTTATCGAAGTTATCTAAGAAACTAAATGTAATGATATATTATCAATTTTAGTGACATACGGAGACCATGTGAACTAATTTAATCGAAGGGTGAATACAAGCAGAACAGATTTTTTTCTAAATTACAAAATGATATCAGAAGATGGTAACTAATTAAATCCACCAGGCAAGTAAGTATCTGAGAATGGTTTTTTTTTTCTATATCCTAGGTCTTGTTTGAAGCTAGCAACGAAATTAATAATCATTGATCTTGTTTAGGACAATGGGCATAATCACGAGCTTACGATCTAATCTCCCAGATCAATGAGTCAAATAAAACCTAATCAAGACCGGTTTATTGTTTATTTAGTGTGCGAATTCTCACTTTCGATTCCTTTCGTAACCTTTCCCTGATTGTTCGCCGTTACGTGAACGGAAACAATTGTGTTGCGATAAACGCATACTCTGTCTAGGAACCATTTGCTTAATTAACAATTCTTAGGAGCTTTTCGGTAACGGCGGGCTCCAGTTACCGGAAAGTTGCCACTTCATTGTTCTCCCAAAAAATTTTTTTGGTCGCAGCAAAATTACACAACAATTGCAAATTTACATCTTTGTTAAGAAATTCTATGAAAAGAGAAATAATTATATACTTAGAATCTATGCTTCTTTGCTATTATGATTTTCAGTAGTGTGTGATTAATAATACAAAATTAATTATGCACGAAAATGGAATAAACAATTTGTAATACTTTTTTATTAAATAATACGTTATTTAGATTTTTTTTTTATTTTCAGAAGTCTTCAGCTGTTGCAGTAGAATTTGTACATAAATAATAAGAAGATGAAACAATGGTATCTTTCTACTTTCTCTAGATGATAATCAAAAAGAATCCTGAAAGCAATCTTTCTCGATTATCTCTTTTTCTCTCTTAAGCGTGATAGACAAGGTCATTATATGTTCAAAGGATCTAAACTCGTTTCAATATTATGCAACACATTCTTCTGCACAATTTGACCGATCTTTTCTTTCTCTTTCTTATGTGACTATAGCTCATTGTGAAACAGCGTTATGTGAATAATGAATTAACTGGACTAAGAGAAGGTATCATCCCAGTGGGCGCCCAAACAAAAATGTCCATTATTTCGTCATACTTAGGGTTACAATATCTCTTCGATTTGACATCGAAATCGAAAGTAAATCAAGGATACACGTAAAAGTATATTTTAAAGACTTTCAGATTAGTTTTACGTAAAGTTAAATTAAAAGGCTTCTCAAAACCTCTCAAAAATCAAATCCATCAACTCCTTGTAATTTTATTTCTTCTTATCAAGTAATATTGAAGATTTAATAATTTTAAAAAGTTTATCATTTATTTCTTAAAAAGTACAGAATTTTTGGAACCTTTTTAAGATAGCTGATCAAAGTTTATATTGTAATACTATTATACGTATCAAATCTTTCATAATGTTCAGGAAATTCATGTTGGAGATCCATCTTCAGTTTCTTAAGTTCTAAAGAATGTCAGTAGCGGTAATTACAAAAGCGAAAAGCGTGTAATGAAGGACGTGCATAGCGTAAAAAGAAACAATGCTAGATAATGTCAATATCAAGTCGACTGTAGCTCAAGATTAATCTTCTAAATACCAAATTAGAATACTATCTACCACTGTGGAATTATATAAAGCAAAATTTGTAAAAGGCTAGAATTACTTTATATTCTTTGCATTTCATTCCATTTCTTCATACCTGTATCTTTAAATTTTGAAATTTAGGTACCTTGAATTTTTAGAATTTTGAAACATTGAAATTTTCTGTTTCGCTACTTCTTTCAGATTTCCGAATTTTTACATTCTTACATTTCTTTAATTTTATATTTTTACTTTTTTTGCATTGCAATTACATACTTCAGAAGAAAACGAAAAAATACATTATATAAGATTAACAGCAATCTAAATATTTTCTCCTCGATGAAATGACAGTAATTTCAACCGAATATATTAACATCTTATTGACCGTTTCAAATCAAAATTCAATTGTTACTTGTCTACAGTCATTTGTACTATTTAATTAATGCAAATGTAAATTATCTTCATCTCTTCTGACAATTCAAATCATACATTATATAATACTTTTTATATAAATTTTTATTTCACATTTTCGCTAAGGTCATTAAATCTTAGAAGAATTATATAAAGTCGTAGAACTAATTTTATCTAACGAGAATATATGATCATTACTATATTGCAAACCTATTATTTAGCATTAGCTAACTATAAATTAAGAAACGTCAAATTTGAATTAAATTCTATCTATTTTTCCAAATATATCATTATAGTAATTAATATCTTAATCTTCACAAACAAGTTTTATGATAACATCAAGATCTCAAGATTAAGAATGAAAAATGTTTTCATCTACGATTCCCAAGTTATGCTTTTTATATTTTTTAAATTGTAGTCTACTATCTGTCTAATGAAAGAATCAATAATTTTGGATCGATAAAAGGTTTTAGATAATATAACTAAAATTTGATTACAAAATCTTTTTATTGAAAACGTGCTAGCGATACATACTCATATTCATTACAGTCTTAATTGACGATCTCTTTTAAATTTACTAATAGGCCTAATATCTTTATTCTCTTCTTTCTTTTCCAAAATTTTCTTTGTAACTTCTATTGTGTTCTTCTCTTTGATATCTTTCACTACCTATAAATTATTAAAATATCTTTTTTATTTCTTGTTACTGTCATAAAGAAAATATATATATACTAAAATATTCTATTAATTACAGTTTCATAAACTGAAGGTTTAACAGCGTCCTCGTTATCATCATCATCTTCTTCTTCTTCTGTACTATATTCTATTGGTGCTTGTTCTGGATTCAAATCGTTTGGTGATCTTTTCAAGATAGATTTAGGTTTTGAAAATAATCTGTAAATATCTGCAGGCGTTTCTATCGAATTTCCATCTGATTTTGTAACTAGTTTATTTTCGGAATGATTGAATTCTATCCGAAGGATATCTTCTTCCGAATCTACCACCTTTTTGCTACTTTCCTCTTTTTCTTTTATTAAATTTTCCTTTTCTTTCTTCAAAAGATCTTCCGGCTCTGCAAATGAAACTAATTTTTTAACTTTATGAGTTTCGACTTTGAGCTGATTTATTCCAGGAATTTCTTTA